CAGTCTCTATGGGGGTGTCACAGGGTTCAATTCTTGGGCCAACTCTTTTCTCTGTGTATATCAATGACGTCGCTCTTGCTGCTGGTGACTCTCAGATCCACCTCTACGCAGACGACACCATTTTGTATACATCTGGCCCTTCATTGGACACTGTGTTAACAAACCTCCAAACGAGCTTCAATTCCATACAACACTCCTTCAGTAGCCTCCAACTGCTCTTAAACACTAGTAAAACTAAATGCATGCTCTTCAACCGAACGCTGCTTGCACCCGCCCACCCGACTAGAATCACTACTCTAGACGGGTCTGACCTAGAGTATGTGGACAACTACAAATATCTAGGTGTCTGGTTAGACTGTAAACTCTCCTTCCAGACTCACATTAAGAATCTCCAATCCAAAGTTAAATCTAGAATCGGTTTCCTATTTCGCAACAAAGCCTCCTTCACTCATGATGCCAAACATGCCCTCGTAAAACTGACTATCCTACCGATCCTTGACTTCGGCGATGTCATTTACAAAATAGCCTCCAACACTCTACTCAGCAAATTGGATGTTGTCTATCACAGTGCCATCCGTTTTGTCTCCAAAGCCCCATACACTACCCACCACTGTGACCTGTACGCTCTTGTTGGCTGGTCCTCATTACATATTCGTCGCCAAACCCACTGGCTCCAGGCCATCTATAAATCACTGCTAGGCAAATCCCCGCCTTATCTTAGCTCATTGGTCACCATAGCAACACCCACCCGTAGTCTGCGCTCCAGCGGGTATATCTCACTGGTCATCCCCAAAGCCAACACCTCCTTTGGCCGCAATTCCTTCCAGTTCTCTGCTGCCAATGACTGGAACAAATTGCAAAAATCTCTGAAGCTGGAGACACTTATCTCCCTCACTAACTTTAAGCATCAGTTGTCAGAGCACCTTACCGATCACTGCACCTGTACACAGCCCATCTGAAATTAGCCCGCCCAACTACCTCATCCATATATTGTTATTTATTTTGCTCATTTGTACCCCAGTATCTCTATTTGCACATCATCTCTTGCACATCATTCCAGTGTTAATACTAAATTGTAATTATTTTGCACTATAGCCTATTTTATTGCCTTACCTCCATAACTTGCTATATTTGCACACTGTATATTATATGTATTTCTGTTGTATTTTTGACTTTGTTTTGTTTTACCCCATATGTAACTCTGTGTTGTTGTTTTTATCGCACTGCTTTGCTTTATCTTGGCCAGGTCGCAGTTGTAAATGAGAACTTGTTCTCAACTGGTTTACCTGGTTAAATAAAGGTGAAATAAAAATAAAAAAAATAAAAATAAGAGCGTCTGCTAAATGACTTAAATGTAAATGTAAATGTATGCCATCTTGGACTGATGTCTTGAGATGTTGCTTCAATATATCCACATACATTTCCTTCCTCATGATGCCATCTATTTTATGAAGTGCACCAGTCCCTCCTGCAGCAAAGCACCCCCACAGCATGATGCTGCCACCCCCGTGATTAACGGTTGGGATGGTGTTCTTCGGCTTGCAAGTCAGCCCTCTTTTCCCTCCAAACATAACGATGGTCATTATGGCCAAACAGTTCTATTTTTGTTTCATCAGACCAGAGGACATTTCTCCAAAAAGTACGATCTTTGTCCCCATGTGCAGTTGCAAACCGTAGTCTGGCTTTTTTATGGCGATTTTGGAGCAGTGGCTTCTTCCTTTCTGAACGGCCTTTCAGGTTATGTCGATTATAGGACTCGTTTTACTGTGGATATAGATATTTTTGTACCGGTTTCCTCCAGCATCTTCACAAGGTCCTTTGCTGTTGTTCTGGGATTGATTTGCACTTTTCGCACCAAAGTACGCTCATCTCTAGGAGACAGAACGCATCTCCTTCCTGAGCGGTATGACGGCTGCGTGGTCCCATGGTGTTTATACTTGCATACTATTTTTTTGTACAGATGGTACGTGGTACCTTCAGGCATTGGGAAATTGCTCCCAAGGATGAACCAGACTTGTGGAGGTCTACCATTTTTTTTCTGAGGTCTTGGCTGATTTCTTTTGATTTTCCCATGATGTCAAGCACTGAGTTTGAAGGTAGGCCTTGAAATACATCCACAGGTACACCTCCAATTGACTCAAATTATGTCAACTAGCTTATCAGAAGCTTCTAAAGCCATGCCATAATTTTCTGGAATTTTCCAAGCTGTTTAAAGGCACAGTCAACTTTAGTGTATGTAAAGTTCTGACCCACTGGAATTGTGATACAGTGAATTATAAGTGAAATAATCTTTCTGTAAATAATTGTTGGAAAAATTATTTGTGTCATGCACAAAGAAGATGTCCTAACCGACTTGCCAAAATTATAGTAGTAGTAGTCCTCTGTAATAGTCCTCTGTAGCTCAATTGGTAGAGCATGGCACTTGTAACGCCAGGGTAATGGGTTCGATCCCCGGGACCACCCATACGTAAAAATGTATGCACACATGACTCAGTCGCTTTGGATAAAAGCGTCTGCTAAATGGAATATTATTATAGTTTGTTAACAAGACATTTGTGGAGTGGTTGAAAAACGAGTTTTAATGACTCCAATCTAAGTGTATGTAAACTTCAGACTTCAACTGTATACAGTGGGGGAAAAAAGTATTTAGTCAGCCACCAATTGTGCAAGTTCTCCCACTTAAAAGGATGAGAGAGGCCTGTAATTTTCATCATAGGTACACGTCAACTATGACAGACAAAATGATTTTTAAAAATCCAGAAAATCACATTGTAGGATTTTTAATGAATTTATTTGCAAATTATGGTGGAAAATAAGTATTTGGTCAATAACAAAAGTTTCTCAATACTTTGTTGTATACCCTTTGTTGGCAATGACACAGGTCAAACGTTTTCTGTAAGTCTTCACAAGGTTTTCACACACTGTTGCTGGTATTTTGGCCCATTCCTCCATGCAGATCTCCTCTAGAGCAGTGATGTCGCTGGGCAACACAGACTTTCAACTCCCTCCAAAGATTTTCTATGGGGTTGAGATCTGGAGACTGGCTAGGCCACTCCAGGACCTTGAAATGCTTCTTACGAAGCCACTCCTTCGTTGCCCGGGCGGTGTGTTTGGGATCATTGTCATGCTGAAAGACCCAGCCACGTTTCATCTTCAATGCCCTTGCTGATGGAAGGAGGTTTTCATTCAAAATCTCATGATACATGGCCCCATTCATTCTTTCCTTTACACGGATCAGTCGTCCTGGTCCCTTTGCAGAAAAACAGCCCCAAAGCATGATGTTTCCACCCCCATGCTTCACAGTAGGTATGGTGTTCTTTGGATGCAACTCAGCATTCTTTGTCCTCCAAACACGACGAGTTGAGTTTTTACCAAAAAGTTCTATTTTGGTTTCATCTGACCATATGACATTCTCCCAATCCTCTTCTGGATCATCCAAATGCACTCTAGCAAACTTCAGACGGGCCTGGACACGTCTGGCACTGCAGGATTTGAGTCCCTGGCGGCGTAGTGTGTTACTGATGGTAGACTTTGTCACTTTGGTCCCAGCTCTCTGGAGGTCATTCACTAGGTCCCCCGTGTAGTTCTGGGATTTTTGCTCACCGTTCTTGTGATTTTGACCCCACGGGGGAGATCAAGGGAGATTATCAGTGGTCTTGTATGTCTTCCATTTCCTAATAATTGCTCCCACAGTTGATTTCTTCAAACCAAGCTGCTTACCTATTGCAGATTCAGTCTTCCCAGCCTGGTGCAGGTCTACAATTTTGTTTCTGGTGTCCTTTGACAGCTCTTTGGTCTTGGCCATAGTGGAGTTTGGAGTGTGACTGTTTGAGGTTGTGGACAGGTGTCTTTTATACTGATAACAAGTTCAAACAGGTGCCATTAATACAGGTAACGAGTGGAGGATAGAGGAGCCTCTTAAAGAAGAAGTTACAGGTCTGTGAGAGCCAGAAATCTTGCTTGTTTGTAGGTGACCAAATACTTATTTTCCACCATAATTTGCAAATAAATTCATTAAAAATCCTACAATGTGATTTTCTGGATTTTTTTCCCTCAATTTGTCTGTCATAGTTGACGTGTACCTATGATGAAAATTACAGGCCTCTCTCATCTTTTTAAGTGGGAGAACTTGCACAATTGGTGGCTGACTAAATAATTTTTTCCCCCACTGTATAAAAAAACACATGTAGCCCACATATCAATACATACACACAAACTATCTATAACATAAAGGCCTAATTAGTGCAGTGCTGCAGAGATGGTTGTCCTTCTGGAAGGTTCTCCCATCTCCACAGAGGAACTCTGGACCTCTGTCAAGAGTGACCATCAGGTTCTTGGTCACCTCCCTGACCAAGGCCCTTCTCCCCCGATTGCTCAGTTTGGCCGGGCAGCCAGCTCTAGGAAGAGTCTTGGTGGTTCCAAACTTCTTCCATTTAAGAATGATGGAGGCCTCTGTGTTCTTGGGGACCTTCAATGCTGCAGACATTTTTTGGTACCCTTCCCCAGATTTGTGCCTCGACACAATCCTGCCTCGGAGCTCTACGGACAATTCCTTCGACCTCATGGCTTGGTTTTTGCTCTGACATGCACTGTCAACTGTGGGACCTTATATAGACAGGTATGTGCCTTTCCAAGTCATGTCCAATCAATTGAATTTACCACAGGTGGACTCCAATCAAGTTGTAGAAACATCTCAAGGATGATCAATAGAAACAGGATGCACCTGAGCGCAATCGAGTCTCATAGCAAAGGGCCTGAATAATTACGTAAATAAGATATTTCAGTTTACATTTTTTACAAATTTGCAAACATTTATAAAAACCTGTTTTTGCTCTGTCATTATGGGGTATTGTGTGTAGATTGATGAGGAAAACAATTAAATCTATTTTAGAATAAGGCTGTAACGTAACAAAATGTGGAAAAAGGGAAGGGGTGTGAATACTTTCTGAATGCACTGTATACAGAAGAGTTTGACTAACAGATAAGAGTCAAACGACACATTGTCTTCATGTGTTTAATCAGTTTAGAAAAAGGGAAAAGGCCCATTGCATAATGGAAAAGATTCTATACAATCCACACACACATGATACAGTGCATCTCAACATTGTTTTGTTTGGTCAGTTTACACATTATTAGCATTATTATTCAGAGTTCTGTTCAACAGCGCTAAAATATCTCCCTTTCTCAATCAAGCTATTGTTATATGATCCTTTGTTACACCCCCCCTCCTCTCATCAGTTCATCTTCTCCTTCTGGGCCAGGTCAGTGTGTGTCTGGGCCTGCTGCATGTGTCTCCATGCGTCCAGTATGAGGACCAGAGGAATGATGATCCAGAGGACGTTCATGAAGACAAAATAGAACCAGAAGTACAGAGGATGTCCCATCTGACTGTGGCTGTAACCATCACGGTGCTCTGTGTAAAAATACAGGACCGCCCCATAAAGCTGACCTGGAGACAGAGGACAGGGGTTAACACACATACAGCTGACCTGGAGACAGAGGACAGGGCTGACCTGGAGACAGAGGACAGGGGTTAACACATACAGCTGACCTGGAGACAGAGGACAGGGCTGACCTGGAGACAGAGGACAGGGGTTAACACACACACAGCTGACCTGGAGACAGAGGACAGGGCTGACCTGGAGACAGGGGACAGGGGTTAACACACACAGCTGACCTGGAGACAGAGGACAGGGCTGACCTGGAGACAGAGGACAGGGCTGACCTGGAGACAGAGGACAGGGGTTAACACACACAGCTGACCTGGAGACAGAGGACAGGGCTGACCTGGAGACAGAGGACAGGGGTTAACACACACAGCTGACCTGGAGACAGAGGACAGGGCTGACCTGGAGACAGAGGACAGGGGTTAACACACACACAGCTGACCTGGAGACAGAGGACAGGGCTGACCTGGAGACAGAGGACAGGGGTTAACACATACACAGCTGACCTGGAGACAGAGGACAGGGGTTAACACACACAGCTGACCTGGAGACAGAGGACACCCCCACAGGTAATCAGTTCATAGGGTTTACACATCCACCCCCACAGGTAATCAGCTCATAGGGTTTACACATCCACCCCCACAGGTAATCAGTTCATAGGGTTTACACATCCACCCCCACAGGTAATCAGCTCATAGGGTTTACACATCCACCCCCACAGGTAATCAGCTCATAGGGTTTACACCCCCACAGGTAATCAGTTCATAGGGTTTACACCCCCCCCACCCCCACAGGTAATCAGCTCATAGGGTTTACACCCCCCCCACCCCCACAGGTAATCAGTTCATAGGGTTTACACCCCCCCCCACCCCCACAGGTAATCAGCTCATAGGGTTTACACCCCCCCCACCCCCACAGGTAATCAGTTCATAGGGTTTACACCCCCCCCACCCCCACAGGTAATCAGTTCATAGGGTTTACACCCCCCCCCCCCCCACCCCCACAGGTAATCAGTTCATAGGGTTTACACCCCCCCCCACCCCCCACAGGTAATCAGTTCATAGGGTTTACACCCCCCCCCACCCCCACAGGTAATCAGTTCATAGGGTTTACACCCCCCCCACCCCCACAGGTAATCAGCTCATAGGGTTTACACCCCCCCCCCCCCACCCCCACAGGTAATCAGTTCATAGGGTTTACACCCCCCCCCACCCCCACAGGTAATCAGTTTCATAGGGTTTACACCCCCCCCCCCCACCCCCACAGGTTAATCAGCTCATAGGGTTTACACCCCCCCCCACCCCCACAGGTAATCAGTTCATAGGGTTTACACCCCACCCCACCCCCACAGGTAATCAGTTCATAGGGTTTACACCCCCCCCCCCCCCACCCCCACAGGTAATCAGCTCATAGGGTTTTACCACCCCCCCCCACCCCCACAGGTAATCAGTTCATAGGGTTACACCCCCCCCCCACCCCCACCAGGTAATCAGCTCATAGGGTTTACGCCTCCACCCCCCCACCCCCAAGGTACCCTACCAGTGTACCTACCAAGAGAGACAATCAGTTGCAGGACAAAGCGGTATGGTTTGTTGGCCAGGAAGGCAAACACCGTCCACAAACTGAATGGACCCCAGAACCAGGCTGTTACTGTCTCCATACACACCGTGAAGTTATCAGCTCTACACAGAGAGGGAGATAGAACAGGAGGGGGGAGAACACTCCGCAGTTGATTTAATTGTTCTCCTTAGCCTACAGTTAGTATACTGAACAAAAATATAAAACACAACATGCATAATTTCAAAGATTTGACTGAGTTAGTTCATGAGGAAATCAGTCAATTGAAATAAAATTCATTAGACCCTAATCTATGTATTTCACATGACTGGGAATACTGATATGCATCGGTTGGTCACAGACACTGTACCTTAAAAAAATAAAAAGCGTGGATTAGAAAACCAGTCAGTAGTGCTTTGAGAGGCTAATCAAAGATCATATCACCTCCTTGACACACTCCACCCTCTCCAATTCACCTACCAGGTCACCTAACAACGCAATCGCAATCGCCATTGCCCTGCACACTGCCCTTACCCACCTGGACAAAAGGAATACATATGTGAGAAAGCTGTTGATCGACTACAGCTCGGCTTTCAATACTATAGTGCCCTATAAACTCATCACAAAGCTCACAGCCCTGGGTCTGAACTCCCCCCTCTGCAACTGGGTCCTGGACTTCCTGACGGGCCGCCCCCTGGTGGTGAAGGTAGGCAACATTCCCTCCTCCACACTAATCCTCAACACAGGGGCCCCACAAGAGTGCGTCCTCAGTCCCCTCCTGTATTCTCTGTATACCCACGACTGCGTAGGCTCACACAGTTCCAACTCCATCATCAAGTTCGCTGACGACGCAACAGCAGTAGGCCTGATTACCAACAACGACGAGAGCCTACAGAGAGGAGGGAGGCACTCTGACAGCATGGTGCCAGGTAAACAACCTCTCCCTCAACGTTTGCAAAACAAAGGAGCCGATTGTGGACTTCAGGAGGAACCAGGCTGGACACGCCCCCATCCTCATCAACGGGGCCGTGTGCAGACCGTTAATAACTTCAAATTCCTCGGCGTACACATCTCAGAGGAGCTGAAATGGTCTAACCTCACGGACACCTTAGTGAAGAAGGCACGACAGTGACTCTTCAACCTCAGGAGGCTGAAGAAATGTGGCCTGTCCGAGGGCCTCACAGTGTTCTACAGGAGCACCATCGAGAGCATACTGTCGGGCTGAATCACAGTCTGGTACGTCAACTCCGTACTTTGTTGAAGCACTTTTGGCAGCGATTACAGCCTCGAGTCTTCTTGGGTATGACGCTACAAGCTTGGCACACCTGTATTTGGGGAGTTTCTCCCATTCCTCTCAAGCTCAGTCAGATGGGAAGCGTTGCTGCACAGCCAATTTCAGGTCTCTCCAGAGGTGTTCGATCGGGTTCAAGTCCGGGCTCTGGCTGGGCCACTCAAGGACATTCAGAGACTTGTCCCGAAGCCACTCCTGCGTTGTCTTGGCTGTGTGCTTAGGGTTGTTCTCCTGTTGGAACGTGAACCTTTGCCCCAGTCTGAGGTCCTGAGAGATCTGGAGCAGGTTCTCTCTGTACTCTGCTCCGTTCATCTTTGCCTCGATCCTGAGTAGTCTCCCTGTCCCTGCCGCTGAAAAACATCCCCACAGTATGATGCGGCCACCACCGTGCTTCACCGTAGGGATGGTGCCAGGTTTCCTCCAGACGTGACGCTTGGCATTTACGCCAAAGAGTTCAATCTTGGTTTCATCAGACCAGAGAATCTTGTTTCTCATGGTCTGAGAGTCCTTTAGGTGCCTTTTGGCAAACTCCAAGCGGGCTGTCATGTGGCTTTTACTGAGGAGTGGCTTCCATCTGGCCACTTTACCATAAAGGCCTGATTGGTAGAGTCTGCAGAGATGGTTGTCCTTCTGGAAGGTTCTCCCATGTCCACAGAGGAAGCCTAGAGCTCTGTCAGAGTGACCATCGGGTCACCTCCCTGACCAAGGCCCTTCTCCCCCCGATTGCTCCGTTTGGCCGGGCGGCCAGCTCTAGGAAGATTCTTGGTGGTTCTAAACTTCTTCCATTTAAGAATGGAGGCCTTCAATGCTGCATAATTGTTTTGGTACCCTTCCCCAGATCTGTGCCACGACACACTTGTATCAGAGCTTTACGGACAATTCCTTCGACCTCATGGCTTGGTTTTTGCTCTGACATGCACTGTCAACTGTGGGACCTTATATAGAGATGCATGTGCCTTTCCAAATCATGTCTAATCAATTGAAATTCCTACAGGTGGACTCCAATCCAGTTGTAGAAACATCTCAAGGATGATCAATGGAAACAGGAAGCACCTGAAATCAATTTCGAGTCTCACAGCGAAGGGTCTGAATACTTATGTAAATAAAAGGTGTCAGTTTGCTTATTTTTTATACATTAGCAAAAAATTATAATAACCAGTTTTCGCTTTGTCATTATGGGGTATTGGGTCATTATGGGGTATTGGGTCATTATGGGGTATTGGGTCATTATGGGGTATTGGGTCATTATGGGGTATTGGGTCATTATGGGGTATTGGGTGTAGATTTATTTATCCATTTTAGAATAAGGCTGTAACGTAACAAAATGCGGAAAAAGTCAAGGGGTCTGAATACCTTCCGAATGCACTGTATATTATTACTGGTTTTTTAAATGTTTTTATTTCACTTGGTCACCTATAGTCATTCCCCCTCAATAGTCATGCCGCTCCCCTATAGTCATTCCCCCCCACCCCCTCAATAGTCATGCCGCTCCCCTATAGTCATTCCCCCCCACCCCCTCAATAGTCATTCTGCTCCCCTATAGTCATTCCCCCCACCCCCTCAATAGTCATGCCGCTCCCCTATAGTCATTCCCCCTCAATAGTCATGCCGCTCCCCTATAGTCATTCCCCCCACCCCCTCAATAGTCATGCCGCTCCCCTATAGTCATTCCCCACCCCTCAATAGTCATGCCGCTCCCCTATAGTCATTCCCCCTCAATAGTCATGCTGCTCCCCTATAGTCATTCCCCCTCAATAGTCATGCTGCTCCCCCTATAGTCATTCCCCCTCAATAGTCATGCTGCTCCCCTATAGTCATTCCCCCTCAGTGTCATGCTGCTCCCCTATAGTCATTCCCCCTCAATAGTCATGCTGCTCCCCTATAGTCATTCCCCCTCAATAGTCATGCTGCTCCCCATAGTCATTCCCCCTCAATAGTCATGCTGCTCCCCTATAGTCATTCCCCTCAATAGTCATTGCTGCTGCCCCATGTCACCCCTCAATAGTATTCCCATAATAGTCATGCTGCTCCCCTATATAATTCCCCCATTCCCATGTACTGCTCCCATGTAATCCCCATGTCAGATCAGTCATTCCCCTCAATATCATGCTCATCACCTCAATTAATATCCGCTTCATCCCATTAGCTGCCCCAATGGTAATTCCCCTAATAGTCAGCTGCTCCCCATAGTCATTCCCCTCAATAGTCATGTTGCTCCCCTATAGTAATTCCCCCTCAATAGTCATGTTGCTCTGCAAGTCATTCCCCTCAATAGTCATTCCCCCTCAATAGTCATGCTGTGCCGCAAGTCATTCCCCTCAATAGTCATCCTGTTATTAGTCATGCTGCTCCCCTATAGTCATTCCCCCTCAATAGTCATGCTGCTCCCAAGTCATTCCCCTCAATAGTCATTCTGCTCCCCTATAGTCATTCCCCCTCAATAGTCATGCTGCTCCCCTATGGTCATTCCCCCTCAATAGTCATTCTGCTCCCCTATGGTCATTCCCCCTCAATAGTCATTCTGCTCCCCTATGGTCATTCCCCCTCAATAGTCATTCTATGTCATCCCTCATAGATCTTCCCGCTCAAGTCATTCCCCCCCCACCCCCTCAATAGTCATGCTGCTCCCCTATAGTCATTCCCCCTCAATAGTCATTCTGCTCCCCTATAGTCATTCCCCCCCCACCCCCTCAATAGTCATTCTGCTCCCCTATAGTCATTCCCCCTCAATAGTCATTCTGCTCCCCTATAGTCATTCCCCCTCAATAGTCATTCTGCGTCGCTATAGTCATTTCCCCCCACCCCCTCTGCGGTTGTGAGAGAAATAAGCTTTTTGTGCATATGGAACATTTCTGGGATCTTTTATTTCAGCTCATTAAACATGGGACCAACAGTTTACAAAGAAAAAAAACTTACATGACATATCTGCTGTCTCCTCTGGAGTACTCCTTCCCTGTGGACAAAGAGAGAAGACAACGTTCTGTTAGTTACATTCTACTTGTTGTGGGTTCTCTTTTCCTTGCAATAGGAGGGTTCTAGAAGAGACCGGAGGTTCTACTGGAGGGTTCTACTAGAGGGTTCTAGTACTAGGTTATAGTAGTGAATGGAGGTTCTACTAGAGGGTTCTAGTACTAGGTTATAGTAGTGAATGGAGGTTCTACCATAGGGTTCTAGTACTAGGTTATAGTAGTGAATGGAGGTTCTACTAGAGGGTTCTAGTACTAGGTTATAGTAGTGAATGGAGGTTCTACTAGAGGGTTCTAGTACTAGGTTATAGTAGTGAATGGAGGTTCTACTAGAGGGTTCTAGTACTAGGTTATAGTAGTGAATGGAGGTTCTACTAGAGGGTTCTAGTACTAGGTTATAGTAGTGAATGGAGGTTCTACTAGAGGGTTCTAGTACTAGGTTCTAGTAGTGAATGGAGGTTCTACCAGAGGGTTCTAGTACTAGGTTCTAGTAGTGAATGGTGGTTCTACCATAGGGTTCTAGTACTAGGTTATAGTAGTGAATGGAGGTTCTACCATAGGGTTCTAGTACTAGGTTATAGTAGTGAATGGAGGTTCTACTAGAGGGTTCTAGTACTAGGTTATAGTAGTGAATGGAGGTTCTACTAGAGGGTTCTAGTACTATGTTCTAGTAGTGAATGGAGGTTCTACTAGAGGGTTCTAGTACTAGGTTATAGTAGTGAATGGAGGTTCTACTAGAGGGTTCTAGTACTAGGTTATAGTAGTGAATGGAGGTTCTACTAGAGGGTTCTAGTACTAGGTTATAGTAGTGAATGGAGGTTCTACCAGAGGGTTCTAGTACTAGGTTATAGTAGTGAATGGAGGTTCTACCATAGGGTTCTAGTACTAGGTTATAGTAGTGAATGGAGGTTCTACCATAGGGTTCTAGTACTAGGTTATAGTAGTGAATGGAGGTTCTACCATAGGGTTCTAGTACTAGGTTATAGTAGTGAATGGAGGTTCTACTAGAGGGTTCTAGTACTAGGTTATAGTAGTGAATGGAGGTTCTACTAGAGGGTTCTAGTACTAGGTTATAGTAGTGAATGGAGGTTCTACTAGAGGGTTCTAGTACTAGGTTATAGTAGTGAATGGAGGTTCTACTAGAGGGTTCTAGTACTAGGTTATAGTAGTGAATGGAGGTTCTACTAGAGAGTTCTAGTACTAGGTTATAGTAGTGAATGGAGGTTCTACCATAGGGTTCTAGTACTAGGTTATAGTAGTGAATGGAGGTTCTACTAGAGGGTTCTAGTACTAGGTTCTACTTACACAGCTGAGACAGGAAGCTCTGGTCTGAGGGGATGATGTCATAATAGAGAGAGAACCATCCCTCAATGACCCCGTGGATGAACCCACAGACAGCAAACCAGCAGATAGCCAGCCGCCTGGCCACGCCGAACCCCTGACCTTGGCCATCCCTGGCCCACTCCCGGCCCGTCAGGACCCAGCTGGACAGCATGAAGAGACCCGACACAGAGAACAGAAAGGACAGGATCTCATGCATTGACCTATCGTTGGCCACGTAGCCTGGGATGGACAGGTCCCGCGGCCAGTAGGGGTGGGGGACACCAGCGGCTCGGACTGGGCTTTTCGCCATCTGCCAATAAGTGAGAGAGATGTTACCAGCTGCCCCTTCATAGGAGGCTGAGGCTGTGTTCCGATTCTCTATCGTTCTACTGAAGTGTGCACTTGTTCAGTCCCCTTCATTCATTTAAAAGCACTGGATTGGTGAAAGCATAACCGGAGGGAGTTTCCGCCATATTCTTCACACCAGTCCATTGCTTTTAAATCCATGAGGAGGGCAGAGAATCTGAATATTGCCTAAGCATCAGAGGGTAAGGGCTGGGTAGAGGCTTGACTAGAGGAACATAACTATAGCGTTCAGAAATATAAACCCAACATGTAAAGTGTTGGTCCCATGTTTCATGAGCTAAAATAAAAAGATCCCAGAAATGCTCCATACGCACAAAAAGCTTATTTCTCTCACAATTTTTTGGCACACATTTGTTTACATCCCCGTTAGTGAGCATTTCTACTTTGCCAAGATAATCCATCCACCTGACAGGTGTGGCATATCAAGAAGCTGATTAAACAGCATGATCATTACCCAGGTGCATCTTGTGCTGGGGACAATAAAAGGCCACTCTAAAATGTGCAGTTTTGTCACACAACACAATGCCACAGATGTCTCAAGTTGAGGGAGCGTGCAATTGGCAGGCTGATTGCAGGAACGTCCACCAGAGCTGTTGCCAGAGAATTTACGGTTAAATTATCTACCATAAGCCGCGTCCATCATGAGAGAATTTGGCAGATACTGACTGGTTTTCTGATCCACACCCCATTTTGTTAAGGTAACTGTGACCAACAGATGCATATCTGTATTCCCAGTCATTTGAAATATATATATGCAGAATGAATTTATTTCAATTAACTGATTTCCTTTATATGAACTGTAACTCAGTAAAATCTTAAATTGTTACATGTTGCGTTTATAATTTTGTTCAGTATAAATGTTGGTGGAGTGCATCAATCAGCAATGTGCTCCCCCATCCAGGTACTGACCAGGACCGACCCTGCTCAGCTTCAGAGGCCAGCCAGCCTGCAGGGTGGTCTGCTACTGAGATACTAATGACAAACGGATAACCTCTCTCGCTCACACACACACTTATCCAAAGCGACTTACAGGCGCAGTCAAGGTAAAGTGCCTTACTCAAGTGCACATCAACAGATTTTTCACATAGGTCGAAAAGCTGGTTCGAATCCCCCAACCTTACGCTTAAGCCTGGTGTACACTACATGTCTTTCAAAATCCTAACATCGCTGAGCCTCTCACATTAAATGACTGTCGGTTTTTTTGTCTTGCCTTTATAGTAGTGAGCACACTAAACGATGTGGCACAGACTGGGGTCACACTACAAGATTCTTCACTTGGTCGTGAGGATTCTCCATCCCGCGCTGTCTGGCTCAAAGCAGTCTCAGACATTCAGTCAGACATTCACACTTGCCATACAGAGTTGAAATGTCTAGCCAACATTTTGAATTGAATAACGTTGCTTGTGCACTTCTGAGCTGTAATGATTTGACACTTTGGCTTTGGTTAAAGGCAAGTACAGACGCAGACTAGTAGTAGACATCGCTCCTGTTCGTGAGTCTACACATTCTGCGTGATGCCCAACAATATCATCAAATCACTGGCTTCTTCTCTGGCGAGCTTTCATTGGCTATTGATGATCACAGTTCTCAAAACTTGTCGTTGCACATCTCACACTACACGAGCATTGCAGATTGTGCCGATAAAATAAAACATGTTTGGAAACATCGGGACTGTTCAAAGACGACCTCGGTAGCACCCAGATTGCGTCTCAGACCCGCTCACATTAAACGAGCATCGGTGAAGCTCGCGCGCCCCGAGTAAACAGACATGGGGATGTTGTCTCATATCTCAAAAACTTGTCTGGGACAGAAACGGGACCAACATCGTGTAGTGTACACAGGGATGAACGTAGATGTAAGGATTTATTTTATTTTTTTATACTACAAAGATTACAGGGTAGCCTACTCTGCTGACACTGACAAACAGATCAATAAAAACAACGTTGTCCATATAATCGGCCTACGAGAAGGGGAGACACAAATATAATATGACTTCCATCTAACCTGGAGGAAGAAATTATTGTCCAAAAAAACAAACAAGTGGCACTGACCCAATGATAAAGACAGTGAATATGCACACTCACTGGGGATATGGCCGATGTTCTCAGTTGGTGCCAATACGATAGGCTACTGTTCGCCCAATTAAGTTAAGAATGTTGATCACTTAAAGACAGATTAGAGTATTTTCATGTAATCTCTTTACAGCAATAAACATTTGCTTTCCAAACTGTTTTTCCGCCATCGTATTTTTTAATATTGCGATATGCCTGGCTGGGTCTCCGCTTTTCACTGACAGTCGCAACTCAATTATAATCTATTTTGGTATTTGCAGCACGCACTGCTCAAATTGCGGACCCTTCCGACTGTAGGCTATGCCTACACCCTAACCCTAACCCTAACCCTTCCGACTGTAGGCTATGCCTACACCCTAACCCTAACCCTAACCCTTCCGACTGTAGGCTATGCCTACACCCTAACCCTAACCCTAACCCTTCCGACTGTAGGCTATGCCTACACCCTAACCCTAACCCTAACCCTTCCGACTGTAGGCTATGCCTATACCAATGACCTTAAATTCGCTTAGCAGGCTACTATATAATCTACCATTACTTAGGAAAGCTAATTCCCTAGCCCTACCCTAACCCTCCGTCTATGCTATGTACCTTACCATACTGACTTGCGTAAGCATATGCACAAAGGCGCCCTAACCCTACCCATGCCGATTAACAAAATTATTTGTTAAAAAGCCAAGGACCTGTGGCCACGCAATTTGTTATGGTAGAGACATCTGTTTAGAATGACTCTTCGTGAATTCGTATAGAGGTATCTATACTTTTGCACATTCTTACCTACTAGCGCTAATCCACACGTCATATTCGCCAACACGTCCGCATGCGTTTTAATGTGTGTTTTCAGTTTTGTAACATTCTCAGGCGCACCGTTAGCAACTACCGCGAGTAGCTCAAAATCATCTAGCTATGAAACCCAAAGGTCCTGACCCATTGATTAAGGAACCGAACGTGCTAAGAAGTACTCAGATTGATATAGGCTATGTTACACTTGTAGCACATCCATCTTAACCGCTAAACTACGCGCACACACACACGTCATAATTCCGTCTCCAACATTCGTTATCCGACAGTGAAAGCTTTGAGTCATTTAGTTTTGTATCAGTTCTCGGTGCAACGTTAGCCAACTTACTGCGGAGGTAGAGATGAAGATGCTAGCTAAAGCTGAATGGAGAAGCCAAGTTCCTCAAACCTCGATTTCCAAAGGGCCGAACGGTCCAAGAGTGAAAGATCTGACAGCAATAGGAGATAGATATTCCTACAGGTCCCACCCACCTCGCTAGCTACTGTATTTCTACTCCAATCAGGTGGAAACATACACGATCATTCAGACAGACTTCGGCGTCTCCATTTGTGGCTCGGGAATCAGGGGTTAAAAGTAGGAGGACCCTTGTGATAACAGTAGCCAATCAGACAGCCAATTTTATGTGCCGAAACCACACACGTGAGATGTGAGAAACTGTCGATTGGTTAGCCATCTCGGAACATGGAAGTTGTCACAGGTCGTCGGCCAATGAAATGTATCACAAACAACACACACGGAAGTGTGAATATTTACCATCAACAAAGTAATCATAACAAAGATTATGTATGAATGTACTACAGTAGCAAAACCATATTCACAAGATATTTTGCCAAATGCTGTAGTTTCAAAGAATATGATAGGTCGTTTATGAAAACTAAACCTCCAAATCGTGTCAGGGATTATACAACGGGTGGGGGTGTCTATTCTACAAATGACCACCTGCTAAATCTATGACGTTGAAATGCCTATTTACTCTGTTCCATCTCACTGCGCAATCCACTGTTTTATCAGCCCAGCCAGACAAGTTATAAACTTCATTTCCACTATAAAAAAGCATTAGACATTATCTCCCATTTATTTTAGACTAGTAATTGATTTTCAACAACAACAGAATTGTGTATAATCCTTGCTGTCTGTCTCCGACATTTGCAACATTGTTTCAATATTGAAATTCGATCTCCACCTGTCCTATAGTAAGGTTACCTGGAGGAAAATGCTTTTTCAATTTCAGTCAAGGGGAGGGTTTAGTAATTGTTTAATCTAGTCCAGGGGAGGGTCATGTAATTTGTAATTGATGAAATGTCTATATTTCTCAGTGTTTTAGAATTAGTTGTTTATTGGCTATATATTGATGTGTGCCCGATGCCGCCCCGCATCTCTGATTCTCTGCTGTGCAATATCAAGTGCGCCTATAGCCTATTTAGTGTGGTCTCAATCAAATGATCCATAGCCTATAGGCTATAGACTACAAAGTGTATGCTCGCAGAAGCACAGAGCAAAGTTATATTTCTAAGATAGCTGCTGGGATGGTGTAAATAAAACTAGGCATCATTACACACCGCAATGGATATTCCAACCCTGAGCCCGGCATCCTCTGCTCTTGCTGATCAAAAACTTGTTTGTGTGCTGCCTAACCAATGGCTGTGATGTGTAGGCCTAAGGTGGCAGTTCAGGAGGAGAGTCAAAGGCTTCTTCCGATTTTTTTGTTTTGTTGATCAGGCCTTCTCCAAAAAAAATGCACTATGTTCCGCGTGGACTAGCCTACAGCCTATGTTCTGTTCAGTGCAAAGATAAGATGGAGGATCGGAGGTCAACTTTGATAGCTTGCTACTACTATAATTGATTTTATTAAAAACAATATGTTTCTTGCACCTGATGTACAGTGCATTCGGAAAGTATTCAGACCCCTTGACCTTTTCCACATTTTGTTACGTTACAGCCTTATTCTACAATAGATTCAATAGTTTTGTTTCCCTCATCAATCTACACACAATATCCCATAATGACAGAGCAAAAGCAGGTTTTTAGAAATTTAGGGAAATGTATAATAAAAAAAGATCACATTTACATAAGTATTCAGACCTTTTACTCAGTACTTTGCTGAAGCACCCTTGGCGAGTGATTACAGCCTTGAGTCTTCTTGGGTATGACGCTACAAGCTTGGCACACCTGTGTTTGGGGAGTTTCTCCCATTCTTCTCTGCAGATCCTCTCAAGCTCTGTCAGGTTGGATTGGGAGCGTCGCTGCACAGCTATTTTCAGGTCTCTCCAGAGATGTTTGATCGGGTTCAAGTACGGGCTCTGGCTGGGCCACTCAAGGACATTCTGAGACTTGTCCCGAAGCCACTCCTGCGTTGTCTTGGCTGTGTGCTTAGGGTCGTTGTCCTGTTGGAAGGTGAACCTTCGCCCCAGTCTGAGGTCCTGAGCGCTCTGGAGCAGGTTTTCAAGACTCCTGAACAGCTAATCATTGCTACCCGGACTATTTGCACTGCGATCCACCCCCAACCCCCTCTTTTACGCTGCTGCTACTCTGTCTATTATTTCTGCATAGTCACTTTAACTCTACCCACATGTACAGTGGGGAAAAAAAGTATTTAGTCAGCCACCAATTGTGCAAGTTCTCCCACTTAAAAATATGAGAGATGCCTGTAATTTTCATCATATGTACACGTCAACTATGACAGACAAAATGAGAAAAAAAAATCCAGAAACTCACATTGTAGGATTTTTTATGAATTTATTTGCAAATTATGGTGGAAAATAAGTATTTGGTCAACTTCAAACAAGCAAGATTTCTGGCTCTCACAGACCTGTAACTTCTTCTTTAAGAGGCTCCTCTGTCCTCCACTCGTTACCTGTATTAATGGCACCTGTTTGAACTTGTTATCAGTATAAAAGACACCTGTCCACAACCTCAAACAGTCACACTCCAAACTCCACTATGGCCAAGACCAAAGAGCTGTCAAAGGACACCAGAAACAAAATTGTAGACCTGCACCAGGCTGGGAAGACTGAATATGCAATAGGTAAGCAGCTTGGTTTGAAGAAATCAACTGTGGGAGCAATTATTAGGAAATGGAAGACATACAAGACCACTGATAATCTCCCTCGATCTGGGGCTCCACGCAAGATCTCACCCCTTCGGGTCAAAATGATCACAAGAACGGTGAGCAAAAATCCCAGAACCACGCGGGGGGACCTAGTGAATGACCTGCAGAGAGCTGGGACCAAAGTAACAAAGCCTACCATCAGTAACACACTACGCCGCCAGGGACTCAAATCCTGCAGTGCAAGACGTGTCCCCCTGCTTAAGCCAGTACATGTCCAGGCCCGTCTGAAGTGCATTTGGATGATCCAGAAGAGGATTGGGAGAATGTCATATGGTCAGATGAAACCAAAATATAACTTTTTGGTAAAAACTCAACTCGTCATGTTTGGAGGACAAAGAATGCTGAGTTGCATCCAAAGAACACCATACCTACTGTGAAGCATGGGGGTGGAAACATCATGCTTTGGGGCTGTTTTTCTGCAAAGGGACCAGGACGACTGATCCGTGTAAAGGAAAGAATGAATGGGGCCATGTATCGTGAGATTTTGAGTGAAAACCTCCTTCCATCAGCAAGGGCATTGAAGATGAAATGTGGCTGAGTCTTTCAGCATGACAATGATCCCAAACACACCGCCCGGGCAACGAAGGAGTGGCTTCGTAAGAAGCATTTCAAGGTCCTGGAGTGGCCTAGCCAGTCTCCAGATCTCAACCCCATAGAAAATCTTTGGAGGGAGTTGAAAGTCTGTGTTGCCCAGCGACAGCCTCAAAACATCACTGCTCTAGAGGAGATCTGCATGGAGGAATGGGCCAAAATACCAGAAAGAGTGTGTGTAAACCTTGTGAAGACTTACAGAAAACGTTTGACCTGTGTCATTGCCAACAAAGGGTATATAACAAAGTATTGAGAAACTTTTGTTATTGACCAAATACTTATTTTCCACCATCATTTGCAAATAAATTCATTAAAAATCCTACAATGTGATTTTCTGGATTATTTTTTCTCATTTTGCCTGTCATAGTTGACGTGTACCTATGATGAAAATTACAGGCCTCTCTCATCTTTTTAAGTGGGAGAACTTGCACAATTGGTGGCTGACTAAATACTTTTTTTCCCCACTGTACATATTACCTCAATTACCTCGACTAGCCGGTGCCCCCGCCCCCTGTATATAGCCTCCCTACTGTTATTTTATTTTACTGCTGCTCTTTAGTTATTTGCTTTTATTTTTTTTACTTAACACTTTTTACTTTTAAATGTTTCTTTTAAAAATGCATTGTTGGTTGAGGGCTTGTAACTAAGCATTTCACTGTAATGTCTACACCTGTTGTATTCGGCGCATGTGGCAAATCAAATTTGATTTGATCAAGGATCTCTCTGTACTTGGCTCCGTTCATCTTTCCTTCGATCCTGGCTAGTCTCCCAGTCCCTGACACTGAAAAACATCCCCACAGCATGATGCTGCCACCACCATGCTTCACCGTAGGGATGGTGCCAGGTTTCCTCCAGACGTGACGCTTGGCATTCAGTCCAAAGAGTTCAATCTTGGTTTCATCAGACCAGAGAATCTTGTTTCTCATGGTCTGAGAGTCCTTTAGGTGCCCTTTGGTAAACTCCAAGCGGGCTGTCATGTGCCTCTTACTGAGGAGTGGCTTCTGTCTGGCCACTACCATAAAGGCCTGATTGGTGGAGTGCTGCAGAGATTGTTGTCCTTCTGGAGGGTTCTTCCATCTCCACAGAGGAACTCTGGACCTCTGTCAGAGTGACCATCAGGTTCTTGGTCACCTCCCTGACCAAGGCCCTTCTCCTCCGATTGCTCAGTTTGGCCAGGCGGCCAGCTCTAGGAAGGGTCTTGGTGGTTCCAAACTTCTTCCATTTAAGAATGATGGAGGCCACTGTGTTCTTCGGGACCTTCAATGCTGCAGAAATGTTTTGGTACCCTTCCCCAGATATGTGTCTCGACACAATCCTGTATCGGAGCTCTAAGGACAATTCCTTCGACCTCATGGCTTGGTTTTTGCTTTGACATGCACTGTCAACTGTGGGACTTTATATAGACAGGTGTGTGCCTTTCCAAATCATGTCCAATCAATTGAATTTAACACAGGTGGACTCCAATCAAGTTGTAGAAACATCTCAAGGATTATCAATGGAAACAGGATGCACCGGAGCTCAATTTCGAGTCTCATAACAAAGGGTCTGAATACTTATGTAAATAAGGTATTTCTGTTTTTTATTTTTAATACATTTGCAAACATTTCTAAAAACCTGTTTTCGCTTTGTCATTATGGTTTATTATGTGTAGATTGATGAGGATTTTCGAATAAGGCTGTAACGTAACAAAATGTGGAAAAAGGGAAGGGGTCTGAATACTTTCTGAATGCACTGTATTTAAATAGCCTACCTCCGTGTCAGTGAAGGGCTGTTAAGTTAAAATCAGGACTTGAATTGAAAGGTTATGAGAGGGTATGGCATAGGCCTACCTTTTATTAAATCAAATGGCAAAAA